AGCAGAAGCTGCTTCCATTCCGGTAGAGCCGATAGAGACATAACCACGCGGTACTTGATGAAACAGTGCGGTTTTACTGATCAGAGAATTTTTTTGTAGGAACACAGGAACATCCAGGAATCCTGTCAAATAAATAAACACTTTAGGTTTGTCTAAAATGGATGTGTCATGCACTTTGTCAGATGAACCATCTTATATTACCAGTATCCTATTAAAGGGATAGTTCAACCAAAAATGAAAATTCTGTCATCATTTAATCATGTTATTTATTGGAACAAAAAAAGAAACTCATACAAGCTTGGAACAACTTGAGGGTGAGTAAATCTAATTTTTGGGTGAACTATACCTTTAAATTCAAGTCATTTAGGAGTACAAATAAATGAGCATTTCTTCATTTTTATTCTGTATAACATTTTTTTTATTCTGATTTTAGATATCAAATATTAATCTGAATGGATAAGAGAATAAGCATATTTTAGGTGCTGTGACTGCTCACTATTTTGTTTTTGTAATTATCTTTTTTTGCAGGTAAAATAAATAGTAATGATGTCAAATTGTTTTTTAAAAGTACACATTTACATGCAATAACGTTTGCATGTTTAATAACCAGTCTAAATATCAAATCAAATTTCATTTTTATAGCACAATAAAAACAACAGTAGTTGGGCATTGTGCTGTACAACAGGATAAGTATCTAAAAAAAAAACAAGACAGCAAAACAATGATATAAGCCAAGGAAGTTTACACAAAAACACCAATCAGAAAATTAAACATGAAAAATATAACTTAATAATGCATAGATAGATTAATATTGCATTGTTGTCTTTTTTCATGTCAACTACTCAAATGATGCATAAAAAAACAGTTTGCTACAATTATTCTGCTAATGCTCGATAGTCGATATGAACTGAAATGTTCAAGCCTATAATTCGTATGTTTATCTATTTAAAACACAATAATCACATTAGTAATTATTACATTTACGAGTAATTATTTTTACATACCTTATTTTGTGGGATGACTGAATTCCTGATTCACCGGAATAAAGTTTTCCTCGTTTCCACTCGCTCGACGTTCATCTTTCCGTGAATGTAACTCCAAAGAAACCATCAAAAGTCCTGATAATTCATCCACTCCCTGCGAAAGTGAATCTGCGACCTTTTTTAACACGCAACCAGCACGAAACCTCCAGTTAATTCATATTTCTGCGGTTCCCCGAGCTGTGTTTGTGTCCCGCGGACCGGAGCGGCAGTGTAGTAAACACGAGCAGCTTTAGAGGCGCAGGACTGGACGTGTAATCCCATAATTACATTAAACTCCAGCAGGAGAATCACAGCCACACGCGCCATATTGCCGGAGAAAACACGTATATGTTCTCCATCTCCTGGCGTGTGTGTGTGTGTGTGTGTGTGTACGGCGGCACGGGAATTAACCCCAGCTCTTAGATAACAGTCACAGTTCAAAAACTCCTCTTAATTGGGCTCTTAATTATACATTACATAATAATCACATACTTTTTAGGTTATCCCAGTAATGCACTTTTTTTTTTTTGAACAACAATTGTATTTATCAAAACTTGTCACACAAATTTAAACAGCATTTCATTAAACCTGGATGCAACTTTTTTAAAAAAAATTTTTTTTTTTTTTTTTTTTATATTCATATATAAAAAACATACAATAAGGAATATTTGTTTTTTACTAATATTAGTTGAACCTGAAGATATGGTTCAACATTCAAATTGTTTTGCTAGTTTCCCATGTGAAACAACACAAAAGTTTTCCTGTCATATTTTCTTTATGTAAAAGCATAAAAAGGCTATAAAGTGAGATCAGAACGATAAAAACATCACTAATATTAAACATGTTTTGTTTAATAGCCCCATTAAGGTTCTAAACAGAACTTTCAATGCATGATTCCTTATGGAACGAGTTCTGCTATTGTTATATGCCAAAGAACTCTAAACTTTTATATATGAAACCAGTTCCAGCAAAATACACGTTCCTTTATACTGTATAATAAGTGAACATGTTTTTAACACATTGCTAAATACCATATTCCTGAAAAATACATTTAATTTCAAATTCAGTTACAAGACAAAAACACATAATTTGCTGCAAAATTGTCTTTATTCAGAACGATCTGATTCTAATAGAGGCAGACGTGTGCAATACACTCTTAAAATACAGAAAAAGGGCTTTTACCATGTAAATAAAATTAAGGAGGTTTTCAGCTCTTATAATAGTGCAGTTGTTTTCATGTCTTTAGTTTATACAAAAATAATTTCATGTTTATTGACCATGTAAAAATACATTCTCCACCAACTAACTCTGAGGTCATTATATAAACACACTTCAAGCATCAGACATTTCCATACAGCTAAACAAAAATCATGATTTCCAGTAGTTATGACACTTATTGGTGTAAAACACAGGAGGTCAGTGTGCAACGCAGTTTTTATCCCAACACCTGCAGACTTCTTGGTGTTGTGATGCTGAAACATTCGTCAAAAATAAAAGGATTATATAAAAACAAGCAGTAAATACAAAACAAAAGTCCTCATAAAAGCTGAAACGTTACACTACTGACCAAAAGACAACCATCCAATGTCATTTTCTCCACAATGACATTGGATGTGTGTGTGTGTGTGTGTGTGTGTGAGAGAGTGAGTGAGTGAGTGAGTGAGTGAGTGAGTGAGTGAGTGAGTGAGTGAGTGAGAGAGAGAGAGAGAGAGAGCGTTTCTGTGTGTGTGTGTGTGTGAGAGAGTGTGTGTGAGTGTGAGTGAGTGTGTGTGTGTGTGTGAGAGAGTGTGAGAGAGAGAGCGTTTCTCTGTGTGTGTGTGTGTGTGTGTAATAGTGTGTGTGTGTCTCACTCTGTAATAGAGTGTATGTGTGTGTGTCACTCGTAATGTCACATCAGGGCTGAATAGAGATATTGAACTGATGACCTTTGACCTGTGCACCTCCTCTGAAGCCGAAACACACCAGCTCCTCTTACGCTGACTACAAATAGAATTTGATTTGTTTTATCTAAAAATTATTTGATTCATTTGTAAAAGCTATCTCGATGACCTCGTAAGCTTTAAGTTACCAGTTTAAAAGTGTAGAAAATAATGAGCATGACGGACTATAAATACTGCCGGTAGAGGTTTCGGAACAGCTACTCAGAAATGCACAATAATCTTACTTATTTTCACAATTATAACTGGACAACCGGTGAGAATTAAACATGCATACTGTAATGAGCTCATATGATGATAAATGCAGCGTAAAGCTGTTTGAAATGTGTATTATTGATGTCTGCAGATAATGTTTCTCACTCATATTTAAACAGTTTATATTGTGCATTATGCTTATGCTAGTATCCCAAACACATCTCTGCTTGTAAAGCTGCCTTCAAGTCGCATCACGCCACCAAAAGTCAGAATTAGCAGTGGCAAGACCATTAAAGATCAACTCAAATTGGTTTTAATCATATTTCAACTGTTAAAATCAACAACACTAATTTTACTTCATGAACATTTCTGAACTGAAGAAGAATAGCAATGAAGCTTTAGTTAGTTGGTTAATAAGGCAAGAAAACTACATTTCCCATAATTCCCTGTTCTGTAGCAGCACAGGGATGATGACATACACTGATATCATCATTAAATATGCATGAGAGGTCAAATCCTCCAGCGTTTGTCAGGGCGAGAGACATGACTTCTGAAGGCAGCGCTACTCTCTTACACGCTTTTAAAAGGGAAAAACAGAAACAATCTTACTTTTAGTTTTTAGTTGTAATTAATTATGGCTAATTATTTTGGTCCAAAGTTTCCGTGTCTTTTTTTACAAGTTTGTCACTATAACTGATATAACGGTCTTGTTTATGGATTGTGATTCCGGTTTATTGGAAATGGATAATATAACTAAAATTCTATTATTTGGGAGATATCATATACAGTCAAACCTACATATATTCAGACACCTTCAACATTTCTCACATTATCTCAGTTTATTCGCTATAGTTTAGAAAATGGTGATAAACATAAGCAGAACCCAGAGTTATTAACTTGGTTGATATTTGACTGGTTTTGCCCGTCCTTCTGTTAGACTCTCACGCATGAATTATGTTGAATATCTGTCAGCTGTTAAATTTAACTACACAATTAGATAATACCAGTTTAGCTCAACCAGTGACCAAGCAATGCTTCATGTTGTTCAGTGTGTGTGTAAAAAGAGCATTAGCAATTACAGAAAACATGATCAGCTCAAAGTGGAGGAATCATTATTGGTCCCAAATCTTTATAAATGTCACTGGTAGTCACTGTATGAAGAATATTTGGGTATAATATGTCACAGTTTACTTTATTTTGCTCTCCTCACTTACAGAAATTAACTATAGTGTCCTCACACACTAGTAAATATCAAATGATATCTGGTGTCTGAATAATTTTTGGTTTGACTGTATATAAAGCAAAGTGCATGTTAACTGTACTAACGGTAGACTATTTCCACTGACTCAAAGATTTGAATACAGAGCAATCGTAAAGCGCTTACACATCTCAGCTGTTGAAAAGGAGACTATTAGATGTATGATTGATTTTTGATACAAGATGCAGAGTTGTGATCTTAATTTTTTATAGATTCAAGTGTTTTGTAGGACTCTGTATTTAAAAAAAACACATGACTTGTGCTGATGCTGTGATCGCTGTCCTCTAGTGGCGTGGAGAAGAGCTGCAGATAAATGCTGTACGCTATATTCATCAAAGTATCCTGGAATAAAAATGTAAAAAAAGATTGATAATAATCATAAATGTGTCTTGAGCAAAAAATCCTCACATTAGAGTGATTTCTGAAGGATCATGTGACACTGAAGACTGGAGTAATGATGCTGTAAATTCAGCTTTGATCACAGGAATGAATTACACTTTACTGTATATTCACATAGAAAACAGCTGATTTACACTGGAATAATATTTCACAACATCTCACCGCTGGAAACCTCTGCCGCCAGTGCTCCGCTCCTCACTGAGTCTTGTGTGTGTGGCTGACGCTGCGCTCGCTGTCCTCTAGTGGCGTGGAGAAGATCTGCAGTTTGCTCTGGAGCTGCCGGCGCAGATACACACAGTCCTGGACGTCCAGCGAGTGAGCGAGCGCCAGATACAGGGACAGGAACACCGCTAACACCAGCCGGTCCAGCGGCAGCGAGGGGAGGAGCCACAGCACCGTCAGCAGCTCCACACACACCGGGTGTCTGAGGTGAGAGTACAGGCGCTGCGCTCGCTCAGACTTCAGCAGGAGCGGGTCTCCCAGACCCAGACACTCGTAATACACCTGACCACACACACACACACACACACACACACACACACACACACACACACACACACATCAGTGTGCAGTGGGACTTCAGCAGGAGCGGGTCTCCCAGACCCAGACACTCGTAATACACCTGACCACACACACACACACACACACGTCAATGTTCAGTGGGACTTCAGCAGGAGCGGGTCTCCCAGACCCAGACACTCGTAATACACCTGACCACACACACACACACACACACACACACAGATGAGTCAGCAGGAGCGGGTCTCCCAGACCCAGACACTCGTAATACACCTGACCACACACACACACACACACACACACACAGATGAGTCAGCAGGAGAGGGTCTCCCAGACCCAGACACTCGTAATACACCTGACCACACACACACACACACACACACACACACACACACACACACACACACACACAGATGAGTCAGCAGGAGAGGGTCTCCCAGACCCAGACACTCGTAATACACCTGACCACACACACACACACACACACACACACACACACACACACACACACACACACACACACACACACACACACACACAGATGAGTCAGCAGGAGCGGGTCTCCCAGACCCAGACACTCGTAATACACCTGACCACACACACACACACACACACACACGTCAATGTTCAGTGGGACTTCAGCAGGAGAGGGTCTCCCAGACCCAGACACTCGTAATACACCTGACCACACACACACACACACACAAACAGAGACTTCAGCAGGAGCGGGTCTCCCAGACCCAGACACTCGTAATACACCTGACCACACACACACACACACACACACACACACACACACACACACATCAATGTTCAGTGGGACTTCAGCAGGAGCGGGTCGCCCAGACCCAGACACTCGTAATACACCTGACCACACACACACACACACACACACACACACACACACACATCAATGTTCAGTGGGACTTCAGCAGGAGTGGGTCTCCCAGACCCAGACACTCGTAATACACCTGACCACACACACACACACACACACACACACACACACAGATGAGTCAGCAGGAGAGGGTCTCCCAGACCCAGACACTCGTAATACACCTGACCACACACACACACACACACACACACACACAGATGAGTCAGCAGGAGAGGGTCTCCCAGACCCAGACACTCGTAATACACCTGACCACACACACACACACACACACACACACAGATGAGTCAGCAGGAGAGGGTCTCCCAGACCCAGACACTCGTAATACACCTGACCACACACACACACACACACACACACACACACACACACACACACACGTCAATGTGCAGTGAGACTTCAGCAGGAGAGGGTCGCCCAGACCCAGACACTCGTAATACACCTGACCACACACACACACACACACACACACACACGTCAATGTGCAGTGAGACTTCAGCAGGAGCGGGTCTCCCAGACCCAGACACTCGTAATACACCTGACCACACACACACACACACACACACACACACACACACACACAGATGAGTCAGCAGGAGAGGGTCTCCCAGACCCAGACACTCGTAATACACCTGACCACACACACACACACACACACACACACACACACACACACACACACACACACACACACACACACACACACACACACACACACACACACACACACACACACACACACACACACACACACACACACACACACACACACACACACACACACACGTCAATGTGCAGTGGGACTTCAGCAGGAGCGGGTCGCCCAGACCCAGACACTCGTAATACACCTGACCACACACACACACACACACACACACACACAGATGAGTCAGCAGGAGAGGGTCTCCCAGACCCAGACACTCGTAATACACCTGACCACACACACACACACACACACACACACACACACACACACAGATGAGTCAGCAGGAGAGGGTCTCCCAGACCCAGACACTCGTAATACACCTGACCACACACACACACACACACACACACACACACAGATGAGTCAGCAGGAGAGGGTCGCCCAGACCCAGACACTCGTAATACACCTGACCACACACACACACACACACACACACACGTCAATGTTCAGTGGGACTTCAGCAGGAGCGGGTCGCCCAGACCCAGACACTCGTAATACACCTGACCACACACACACACACACACACATCAATGTTCAGTGGGACTTCAGCAGGAGCGGGTCGCCCAGACCCAGACACTCGTAATACACCTGACCACACACACACACACACACACACACACACAGATGAGTCAGCAGGAGAGGGTCTCCCAGACCCAGACACTCGTAATACACCTGACCACACACACACACACACACACACACACACACACACACACAGATGAGTCAGCAGGAGAGGGTCTCCCAGACCCAGACACTCGTAATACACCTGACCACACACACACACACACACACACACACACACAGATGAGTCAGCAGGAGAGGGTCTCCCAGACCCAGACACTCGTAATACACCTGACCACACACACACACACACACACATCAATGTTCAGTGGGACTTCAGCAGGAGCGGGTCGCCCAGACCCAGACACTCGTAATACACCTGACCACACACACACACACACACACATCAATGTTCAGTGGGACTTCAGCAGGAGCGGGTCGCCCAGACCCAGACACTCGTAATACACCTGACCACACACACACACACACACACACACACACACGTCAATGTTCAGTGGGACTTCAGCAGGAGCGGGTCGCCCAGACCCAGACACTCGTAATACACCTGACCACACACACACACACACACGTCAATGTGCAGTGAGACTTCAGCAGGAGAGGGTCTCCCAGACCCAGACACTCGTAATACACCTGACCACACACACACACACACACACACACGTCAATGTGCAGTGAGACTTCAGCAGGAGCGGGTCTCCCAGACCCAGACACTCGTAATACACCTGACCACACACACACACACACACACACACACACACAGATGAGTCAGCAGGAGAGGGTCTCCCAGACCCAGACACTCGTAATACACCTGACCACACACACACACACACACACACACACACACGTCAATGTGCAGTGGGACTTCAGCAGGAGAGGGTCGCCCAGACCCAGACACTCGTAATACACCTGACCACACACACACACACACACACACACACACATCAATGTTCAGTGGGACTTCAGCAGGAGCGGGTCGCCCAGACCCAGACACTCGTAATACACCTGACCACACACACACACACACACACGTCAATGTTCAGTGGGACTTCAGCAGGAGCGGGTCTCCCAGACCCAGACACTCGTAATACACCTGACCACACACACACACACACACACACACACACACACACACACACATCAATGTTCAGTGGGACTTTAGCAGGAGCGGGTCTCCCAGACCCAGACACTCGTAATACACCTGACCACACACACACACACACACACATAGATGAATGTGCAATGACTTCTGACAGATGTAGTATAGATGAAATATGAAAAAGTTTGCATGTGTTTCGCATCATATTTGATGCATCAGACTTTTATGGCTCATATATAGTGAGAATATGGAGGACAAACAGCTCAGTTTTATTCATAGGCTCAAACTGAGCAAAAATATGCAGTTTGCTGATATTTATATGAAGAAATTCTGATGCTTGTAATGTGAATCTATGAGATCTTTATAACAGGACAGCAGATATTCATTAATGATAAATATAAAAATCTGCCTATAATATATCTTAGTAAGATTATATTTAAATCTGCAGTTTTATGATCAAAGCTCTGTAGTTTTAAAACATATAATGTGATGCATGAACCAATAATGGTAACACTTTACAGTAAGGTTCATTAGTTAATTCATTAGCTTAAGGTGGACGTTGACGCAATTTCTTTTAGAAACAAACTTTGTTATATTGTTTTCATGTTATCACTGTGAAGCGCTTTGATACAATCTGTATTGTAAAAAGCGCTATATAAATAAAGGTGACTTGACTTGACTTGATGTATTACCGAACATGAACTAACCACGATCAGTCCATTTGTTACTGTATTTATTAATCATTGTTAATGTTTGTTAATAAAAATACAGCAGTTCATTGTTGATGTTAGTTCACAGTGCATTAACTAATGTTAACAAATACAACCTTTGATTTTAATAACGTATTAGTAAATGTTGAAACTAATATTAACTAAGATGAATAAATGCTGAAGTATTGTATATTCTTAGTTCATGTTAACTAATGAACCTTATTGAGAAGCGTTACCGTATAAACAAAATAACAAATTAAATAAATTAAAAAACAAATAAAAGATGAACTAATAAACCTGATGATCATATTTGATACTCATGATTTTAGTAATAAATGATGATGATAATCAAGTAAACCTGCTTCAGTCCAGCTGAAATATTATTAACAATATCAAAGTTATTCCTGATAAAATCAGGGCAGATTTGACACAGAAAGACTCGTGAAGCTCGAGCTGAAGGGCGTTTGTACACTTATATTACAAGACTTTTACTGGATAAAAGAGTCTGAACTGTCAATCAGAGACAGAAGGAGTGAGACAGCAAAGATTTGATCATTTACAGGCCTTAGAAATTCATGCATCACATGATACAGTAAAAATATCTACTAAATAGAGCTTATAGTTGTTTTAAATGCAGATTGTAGAAGCAGATGTACCTGTTTGAGGCCCATCAGCTCCGGATAGTCGAAGATGAGGAGGATGCTGCAGATCACGGCCCAGCACAAGAAGTGTACGATGAAGCAGAGGAGCGGGAACCAGATGTCCCAGGGTGCACTGCGCACGGACCACACACAGGGGGCGCCGGTGACCGGCTGCCAGCACTGCATCAGCATCTACACACACACACACACACACACACACACAACATCACGCCTCATCAAACACCATAACAATCATCACAAAGGTATTTCATTATAAAGACGATTTCGACATTACAGGGTTAGTGTGTTTTAGTGTGTTTGAAACAGGGTTCCAGAGAAATGTTTAGAGAAAAATTAAATAATAATATTAAACCAACTAACTAACAAAATTTTATTAGAATATATAAACATACATTTGATACAAATAAATAATAAATACATTTGATTTAAAATGTTTCACTGTTAATGGAGTCTTTGTACATGAAAATGTATAGTTTCCTTTTAAATTTTAGGAAATATGGTCATATTTGAGAGTCTGTGGCATCCAAAAGATTGAAAATAATAAATCCCTCAAATAAAAAAGCATTTATTTCTGACATTATAACTGGACACCACTTGTGGAATTGAATATACAATATAATTGTATTGTTTATTGTTGCACATAGTATTTTTAAGAAAAGTAGGCAGTATTACACTGCTTATAATGCATGCTCATAGGCAGAGGTACCTGCAGTGCTGCAGCGGTGGTGAAACAGTACACAGTTCTGCTTAACACACCAAACACACGCTGACACACACTCTTAACTGGAGCCCAGGCCAATACACTGTGCTGGAGACTGAAGAGGACCAGAAGGAAAACATCCACAGCTACAGCCTTCAGAACCACACCGTCCCGCAGAGCCACAGACCAGGGCACAGAGTCTGAGAACACACACAAAACACGATCAAAACTTTTCATAAACAGATAAAACTTTTTCGCCCAACGTGGGGCTCGAACCCACGACCCTGAGATTAAGAGTCTCATGCTCTACCGACTGAGCTAGCCGGGCTGTACGCAACCGACGCACGCATTCCTTAATGACGACATGACGCACGTGCGTGCGTTTCCTGTCATTTGTTTTCATTTAAATGTAAACCTAATTGTTCAACTGTACATTCTGATCTACCAGCAAATTGAATTTACACATCATCTTTTTTAATCGTTTTAAAAGGCAGATCAAGCTACCGAGTCACTTAAAACTTGGAACAGCCCTAAAACTTAATGCACATTTCAAAGCGAATTAACGTCCATTCGCAACACAATCTCTCCATTAATATATGTATGTGCACATGTGTTCATAAACATAATATGTATAACATGTAGTTTTTTTGTTGGTAAACTTTGAAAGCGCGCTCCCTTACCTTGACACGGAGGCGCGGCCCCGCTCAGGTTATGATAGATGGCACGAAACGACACGAAGCGAACAAAGTCAGCACCGCTCACAAACACGAACACGAAGGTGATTAAAGCTGAAACGGACAGAAAACAATCGCGAAAAGTCACCGACGCCATGATTATATTTATATTTCCAACGGACAGCGAGCGTGATACTTCCGGGCGGGGCGCTGCAGTGACGCGCATGACCAGCGGGTGGCGCTAACGTTTCATGATTATCAATTCTGTGCTTTGAGACGTAAAATAACAAATGTTTAATCTATAAATATGTTACAATTAGCTGTAAATATATACTCACTGTTCTTAAGGGAAAGTCTCCTCTTCCACGTTTAAGTCTTACTGAGTTTATATATATATGGCAATTGTAAAACATAATTAAGTTCATGAAGAAAATCAATAAAAAAAAAAAAAACAATAAATAAAAGATGAACAAAATAAATCATGACCATTTTTGTCCTCTTGATTTTTCTACAAAATTATGATGGATAATCAGGTAAACCTGCTTCAGTCCAGTTTAAATATTACTAACTGTTTTATGATTTTCTATTTTGTGCTTTAAGAGGTAAACTACAAATGTTTCTATTTAATTCTCTTAATAATAAACATCTATAAATGTGTTAGAATTAGCTGTAAATATATACTCTGTTCTTAAGGGAACGTCTCCTCTTCCGCTTTTTGATTTAAAGTCTCACTGAGTTTTCATATATCAATTGTAAAACAATGAAATTCATGAACACATAAAATTAAAAAACAAAAAATTTTGTGTCTCTGAAAGTGTGATGGCAGATCTGACATCATTGTCTTTCAACAGTGTTTAAGGAGGTTTAGCATTAGTAATGATAACGTTTCCTGACAGAAAATGCACAAACACATCAAATTTCTTAGTTTTACTGATGTTTATTTGATCAAAACACATTTCTGTTGACATTTTTAAACAAGCTGTTTGTTTTTATATTTTCTCAAACTCTGCTTGTGTGCAAATTAATGCTCATCAGTCTAGATAAATATGTAATGTCTAAAGATATTCAAGCAAGTTTGCTAAACTGTTTTGAGCTTATTCTTTACATGTAAAAACCTCACACTGCTTAAACTCTTATATATGTTGAGTTAATAAATAATGCATTAAAGGTATGATGCAGTGCTTTCATATTGAACTAAATATCATTGTCACACAAATGAACCACAAAAAAATTAATAATCACTATAACTATTAATGATTGCTTTCACTTGTGCTGAAAAATGCACCATTTGCCCCATCATCTCAGGTTCTCTAACTGATAGTGAAATCTTGTGAACGGATAAAGTCATCTGAAACACAGCGGCCTCTTATTCTAATGTGTGTTTCCTAACAGTGATGCTGGTTTTACTGGCAGTGCAAAGCTCAGATTGTCAAATTAAGCTCATTTTAGCTGATTTTTGATTCATCAGAGCTTCTTGTTTCGCTGCTTTCCATCCTTTCTGCTGTCCACGATGATAACTGATTCCTCCTGCGACGACTGTAGCCAGAAAAAACACACACACAGCCAGTCCAACACCAGCGAACATCAACACACGCTCCGTCACCGTCACCGTCACTTCATCTACAGAGACAGAAGAGTTACTCACATTCATATACAACCTGACTGTATTAGAAGTAGTGCTGGATTTCCATAAAAATCAATTAAACAACCAACATTACCTGTAATGTCCACTTTTTTTGGCAGTTCTGTTGAAGAAAGACAAATATATGTCACTTTATTAAAAACACAGAAATCTATTTAAATAGTGTTTCTGAAAGTTTTTTTAAAACAGATGTTTATAGTGCACAAAACAAATAACTGAATTTACACCAATGAATGAATGAATGAATATAATTTAGCGGACGCAACTTACAAATGAGAACAATAGAAGCAGTTACACTAACAATAGGACAATAATATGCAAGTGCTGTGACCCTTCCCTATTTAAATCTACAATAAAGTACTTTGTACTTAAAAAATTTTTTTTTAAAAAAATTTTTAAAACCTTTATATATATATATATATATATATATATATATATATAGACTAGAATAGAAGAGAAAGTGTTAGTATTAATGGATCAAGTGTTGCCGAAAAAGATGTGTCTTCAGTACTTTTATATGTACTACTGTACACAATCCAGGCAGCGGATCTCTACTCAACCAAATGATCCAGTTCAAAAGTGTCTTAATATTTGGTTTTGCTCAATGTTTTGAATCGACCACTGAAAGATGCCTCACCAAGTTCCCTATCGATACGGTTCACTCGTATTGCGTCGCTTAAACGCGATGGGGGGACACTCCTTTTTCTGTCATTCACTTTATTCATCGTCAAATACGATTGACAATTAGCATACAGTTTGTATTGGCGGTGTGGCTCTGTTCTGGCCAGCCTAGCATGGATAAGATGAAGTAGTGTGTCCCAAAGCTTGCCTATACTCTTTTGCTACACACTCAAAAGTATGTACTTTTTCTTCACAAAAAGAGTACATACTTTTAGGGCGTAGTATAAGTAGGCGAATTGGGACGCAGCACTTGTTTTGAGAGAACCTTGCATTGAGAGAACATTGGCAATACGAACTATGTCATTTGCTTTGCGATTGAAAGCCGTTTAGGGTTCTACATTTCTTATGGAGAAACTGTTATGTGTTTTATTGTTGTTACGTTGTTCACATGTATGTTCATCGTTCCCTGTTTTGGCAGCGTCCAAAACCTTCTTTGTGAACGTGGCGGTCTACAGAGAAGAAGGGGTTTAGTAAGTTTGTCACGTGACATACATGGTGCACACGTAGTGAAACCTGTCTGTATAAAAACCCTAGTTAGGGAATCGTGCCACCTGCTGTATTTATGTTTTTTTTTAGTTAGCGTAGGTTTAGTTATGACGTCTCGGACACTGAAGACTTTTCTTTTGGGTTTTCTTTGTATCATAGTAATAGCTGTTTAATGTGTTAGATAACCTTTATGTTTATGTTACTTTCATTTCTTTGGCACAATTCATTTTCCCCTTTTTCCTTTGTGGTTGGTTCTGTCATGGTGTGTCTTTATTCATTATTATATTTATTAAAACGTATTCACTTTATTGGTCTCTCGTGTTTTCTCACCTCATTCAGGGTTATAGTGTGACGTGTCTGAGATGGTTAAATGTGTTCCCCTCCTAAAAGCCCTAGACGGGTATGAGTCATAGCAGGGTCGTAACATAGTTCATGCGTTCATGACCTCAAGGCTAGACTATTGTAATGCTCTACTGGGTGGTTGCCCTGCACGCTTAATAAACAAACTACAGCTGGTCCAAAACGCCGCAGCTCGAGTTCTTACCAGAACCAGGAAGTATGACCATATTAGCCCGGTTCTGTCAACACTGCATTGGCTCCCTGTTAAACATCGTATAAATATTAAAATATTGCTAATTACTTACAAAGCACTAAATGGTTTAGCTCCGCAGTACTTGAGCGAGCTCTTAACGCATTATAGTCCGTCACGTCTATTGCGATCTCAAAGTTCTGGCCAGTTGATAATACCTAGAATATCTAAATCGACTGCTAGCGGTAGATCCTTTTCCTATTTAGCACCAAAACTTTGGAACAGTCTTCCTAACATTGTCCGGGAAGCAGACACACTCGGTCAGTTCAAAGCTAGACTAAAAACACATCTCTTTGACAAGTTTGTGAAGATATGATGAGAAAAAATGAAATCTGGTACCTTTAATCTCCAGTCTGATGGGTTTGTCGAAGTGCATCTCTGGAGTGTCAGACTTTATTCCATAGAAATAAAGTCCTGAATCTGATTTTTTTACTCCAGTAATAGTTAAAGAGACTCTGGTGACCCAACTATCTGCTGTCATTTTCATACGAGTTCGGTTTTGATTGTAAGTGGTCAGAAGTCTTCTCCCGGTTTTGTCCTTCTCTGCAGAAATCAGCAGAACGAGTTCTTCAGATCTGAGAAGATACCAGGCGACTTCATCTCTGTTCCTCATGCTGCAGTTCAGAGTGATGTTTTCTCCCATCCGAACTCTCAGAACAGAAGATCCTCCTACTGACAAATCTGGAGAGACATTGATAATAATCAAAATATTGGTTTAAAATAATTACATTATGATATGTATTAAAAGTTTGATTATTTACCACTGGAAGAGGTTTGCATATTTACAATCCAAATTACACAGAAGAAAATTAATTTTTCCATTTTGTCTCAACAGTTGCAAATAGTTCACAGACTCGAACCACAATGCTGTTTTCATTTCCTTTATAGCTTTTCTACCTGCTGCTTTTTGCTTTTCCGGTTTTGGTTGTGATAACATTTATGGGAAATGGCATCATAAAACATGCTTTTTCCAAGTAAAGTTCTCCTAAAATGTGGTTAGCATCAGATTTGCTTAGTTAGCAAACCTGAAATGTCAAGAAATTTCCAAAGCAAAGCCGTTTAGATACAAAATCAGCTGCTGTACACATTGACAACCATCTATATTTCTCAACCCAGTTTGGTTTCAATTCCACAAAACTTTCCAAATTTCGTCACATAATTGTATCACAGTATGAATGGTATTTCCAGTTCCCTTTCGAGGGAACTCCAACTGCGTCGAATGACACTTTGGGGGAACGCCTCTCAGCGTAGCGCCTCTGAAGCATGAATGAAACTGAGCCGATCTCCGATTGGTGCAACGTCATGACGTAATGTGTGACGACACATAGGCGGAACTATAAAGGGACGCCGGCAAAACAAAACTTTCTGTTCTTCAGCAAGCGCTATCTGTGACTGTTTGTCTTATTTATTGTTGTCTGTACTGAGTGACTGAAATGGCGAGTGTGAGCTTCAGGAAGTGTGTGCATCCTTGAGGGGGCTGCTTGCGAGGATTGTGAGAAAATGACAATCCGTGTGCTGCGTTCCCGGCTGGCTATCTTCGACGAAGATGGTCAGCCTCGCGAGCCCCGTGGTGCGGGACCCGCGTCCGCTGAGGCGGCGCGGCGACGCTCTTCATGGGGTTCGCAAATGGATCTGTCCGGGGATCCCGAGGCTGCTGAGGCACCTTCTCGGGATTCATCGGGCAGTTCTGATGTCCTCGAGCCTCGCGCAGAAGCCCGCCCCCCGGCTTCTTCTGCGTGAGTCGAGGATCCGATGCTTGAGCTGTCTGCCTCCGAGGAGGTAGACGTGCTCAGCATCGAGGGCGGGGATTTCGGGGACGACTCGCCGCCCCTTGTCCCCGTGTATGAGGAGTTGGTGGAGGTTGTTTCCCGTGCAGTGGCCCATTTAAATATCAGCTGGCCATAAGATAAGCAGGAAGCGCATACTAAAAGTAAGCTGGATGAGTGCTTCCTGCAGCACAGGGAACAACCGCATCACCGGGGCTTGCCGTTTTTTCGTTCTGCTGATAGACAGGGCTTTCCTCCTTGATGCCCCGATTTCGCCTTCTGGCCTGTTCGGCGAGGTTTCAGGAGGCGAAATCAGCGGCCTTCAAGCAATATCTCCCTCGCCGCTCGGTGTCTAAGAAGTCTGCTCCCAGTGGGCAGCCGCAGCCACAGCCATCCACCAGCTCCTCCGCCTATAGACAGGCTCAAAAACAGAGCGTTTCGTCTAGAGCCCCCCCCCCTCAAGGAGCCTGGGGGCATAGACAGCGCTCTCAGGCGAAGCCTCAGCAGAAGCAGGGCGACCTGAGGGCCGTCCTGCTGGCTAAAAAGGCTTCGTCAAAGAGGTCCTAGCTGGTCTAGGATCTCTGCGGGCGGCCCCACCCCTGGTGGAACGACCGAGGTCGTCTCCTTCACGGAGCCCGCAGGAAATCGATGTTGCTCTCTCGCCGTTAAACACGCTTCGGGACACATCGGTATCCAGCGAACGCAGGCCATTCTTCACCCTAGGCCCGGCTATTTGCCTAAGGTGCCGTCCAGTGCGGCACGGCCTACGGCTCTGCAGGCTTTTCATCCTCCACCTCACGTGACGGCAGATGAAGAGAGACTTCACTTGCTCTGCCCTGTCAGAGCACTGAGTATTTACATTCAGAGGTCCTCTTCATGGCGGAAGTCGGACCAGTTGCTGGTGTGTTTCGGGTCGCCCAGGAAGGGGCTTCCCGCCTCAAAACAGACCATCAGCAACTGGATTGTCCATGCGATTTCCACGGCCTACCAGGTGCGCGGTTTGCCTTCACCTTTGGCCGTGAGGGCTCATTCCACCAGAGGCATGGCGTCCTCTAGAGCCCTTCTCGCGGGGGCCCCCATCCAGGAGGTCTGCGATGCAGCAGGATGGGCTACCCCTCATACCTTTATTAGGTTTTACAGTCTGGACATTCCGTCGACACCCGGCTCTCTTGTGCTCGCGTCCTAAGTGTGCCTGTGAGCAGCTTCACACTAGGGCAGGCAGGGTACGTTGTGGCGTAGTGGGTACTCGTTCCCCCAAAGTGTCATTCGACGCAGTTGGAGTTCCCTAAAAAAGGGAACGTCCTCGGGTTACGACTGTAACCCTTGTTCCCTGAGAAGGGAACGAGAACTGCGTCCCTTGGCCACGCCTTCCCCTGCCTGGGAGCGCTTGCCTCATCACAGAGGCTGACATTTTGTTTTGCCGGCGTCCCTTTATAGTTCCGCCTATGTGTCGTCACACATTACGTCATGACCTTGTTCCCTTCTCAGGGAACAAGGGTTACAGTCGTAACCCGAGGACGTTTTCTTCTGGATCCTCTTCTGTTGCTCCTCCTCCAGACCTTTCTGGAAAAAAAGGGCCATTTCCAGGGCGATTCCCTGGAAAGTCCGTGGGAATCGCCGTCTAACCCTAACCCTAACCCTCGACCTGCAACATTCAGTGTGAGAAAACATTGAGTTGTCAACATTTGTATACATTTACAGACACTCATTCCTCATCCTCTGTCTATGGTAGCAGCATGCATAAAGAAATTACTCAGGACAAAGCAAAAGCCAAACGGTGTGTCTGGCAAAGCGCTGGAGAAAGGCAAGAAAAGCCTTATCCGGACGGGACTGGTTTAACATGGAGAGGTGAGGTACAGTAATTATTACCAGAGCTTCTCAGTGATTTCAGTCCTGTCTGAATGTGCATCTCAGTGATCCTTACGGACAATGTCAGTAAAGATTACGGCGACTTTTAGCTTCAGAAAAATTACCTCAGGTGATACTAATCCCGTGCGAATAGACCCGCTGTAAATATTGGTGCGTTTAAGTCCTCCTGGGAAGTCGTGTTTATGACGGCATGCGCGTTCAAGTCACTTTCGTCGGAGTAAGATGGCGGGGTACTTTTTCCTAATTAATTGCACAAAAATAGAGTTTCTTAAAAATAAAGTTTCTTAAACTCTAGTTCTAGAAAATGAAGAACAAAGAAATGTGCATCAGATGTGCTTTGTTTTTTTAATGTTTTTAATTAATTTATGAAGCCACTGCAAACTTTATCATTACATATCACAGTGTTATATTATAATGCCATGATATTCTGTGCAGGCAATTAGCTTGCTTCGCTGTAAATTGAAAAGTCTAGCAATATCACTGCTAAATAGCTTTAAGTATTGTGGTATTCCGCCATGTTTCTCACTGACACAACTCATAAACACAACCCACAACTCATAAACGTCGGGGCTTAAAGAAAATTAGGGCTGCACGATTTGGGGAAAATGTCATATTGCGATTATTGAGGTCAATATTGCGATATGCGATTGCGATAAACAAATGGTTTCATGAGTCAACTTGCTTGGTTCTAAAGCAAAATGCACACACAGATAAGTGATAATTCTGAAATGTGTATTTCTCAACTAAAACTAGCAACAACAACTAAATGATTGATAACACCAATAATGATCAATAAGCCATTGATGTCTGGGTAAAAATTAATTTAATTTTAATTTAAGTGAACTTCAAACGATCCTCACATAAACCCATAATAAATGTCATATTTACCTGTGCTCTTCCTGTCTAACAGGTATAGAAATTGAATAAATTATCAAATAGTCTGCGCTGCATAAATGATAAATTATATGGACTAAAATCCTATTTAAAGCTACACAAATTCTTTGGTCAAGAGCAGTGAGTGTTTTTCTCTGTTTCCTTTGTTCTTTGATTAACTTTACTGACAGAAAGCATTATTGGATGCTGGCCCTTTAAGAGTTGCTGACAGAGACGCGGATCTCACACGCGCCTTATTCTCTCACAACTCTTTACGACGACCATCATAAGACTGCTCTTATGTTATGAAGACACTCGAAAAATGATATTTTGGCATAATTGTGTGTGTTATTGTTCGTTCACTTCAAGCGGAAAGAGAGCTGTATTCTGGCGCGCGTCTTTCAGTCAGGACATTCACAGGCAGCGCGCTCTCTTTTGACTTGTCTCGCTGAATGGTTTAAAGCATTCGCATGAATAAGAGCGGGATCATGTAACACTAGCCAAAGAATGACAAAAAATAACAGATGCTGCGTTAACAGCCCTAATTTGTTTATTTCATATAAAATCGCAGTATTTTGCGTCTTATAATCGCATAGGCTTGACATCGCGATTACGATTGCGATATGATTAATCGTGCAGCACTAAAGAAAATCCAGAGCCTCCCACTCGTATTTACGACATTGTGTTGGCGTTCATGTGCGTTTAACTCGTAAATAAGATCTTTACGAGATGACTTGAACGCACGATATGTACGTAAATGATCCGTCATTTCCTGTTTAAAAGTAGTTTTCCACGTTTTTTCCGAGTATGGAGGCGCTTGAAAAAGCATTCAGTTGTGTTCGAGACGCTGGGACGAGTCTGTGGCAAAACCTCAAGTGAGTACACGTAGTGTAACAGCGCAGCGCTTCTGGTGTACGTCACACGTAGGCTCACTATTGGCCGATGCTGGTCATGTGTGTGATGCGTGTGACGTACAGAAGCGCTGCGCTGCTACACTACGCAAACTATCTTAAAGGCCCACAGAGAAGGAAATGAATATCGAATGTCGTTATTTTTGTTTATTTTTTGCGCACAAAAAGTATTCTCGTCGCTTGATAACCTTAAAGGTGCAGTGTGTAACATTTTTGAGTATTTATTAACAGAAATGCAATATGACATCCATAACTATGTGTTCAGTGGTGTATAAAGAACTTACTTAATAAACCGTAATGTTTTTATTACCTTAGAATGAGGCATTTATATCTACATAGGCGCGGGAATCCCCTTCTATGAAGGTCGCCATATTGTGACGTCATGTTTCTACAGTAGCCGAACGCGAACACACAACGCTACAGAGCGCGCTTCGTCACTACCTTGAGAGAGAAGCCGCAGGAAGCTAGAAGAAGCTAGTCATAAACACCGTGAGTAGTGACTTTTCCCTTGTCAGTGGTGTAAATATGTAGTTGGATTGTTTCATGTAACTTAATTCTTCTCCCTCGCTGTGTTATGGCTTTGCTATGTGGGGATAAATGTGCTGGTTAAGTTCGTGAGACAGCTGATTAGTAGGCTACTCTTGTCATTGACCGTAAAACAGTTACAGGAATCACCAACCCGTCGATCTTGGAAGCATTTTAAGTCGATCGAGTTTCCAAAAT